GGCACGTTGCCGGTGCCGCTGTGCGTGGGCTTCGGCGAAGCGTGCCGCCTGTCCCGCGAAGAGTTCGCGCGCGACGTGGCGCACGTGCGCCGGCTATCGGAGCGCTTCGTGCGAAACATCACGAGTCGACTGCCGGCGGTGCGCTTGAACGGCGGTGAGGCGAACCGCTACCCGGGTAGCTGCAACCTGGCATTTGCGGGAGTTGAGGGCGAGAGCTTGATCATGGCCATGAAGGAGATCGCGGTGAGCAGCGGATCCGCGTGCACGAGCGCAAGTCTCGAGCCCTCGTACGTGCTGCGCGCGCTGGGCGTCGACGAGGAGCTCGCGCACACCAGCATCCGCTTTTCTTTCGGCCGCTTCACGACGCTCGCGGAAGTCGACCGCACGGCGGACCTGGTGGTCGAGGCGGTCTCGAAGCTGCGCTCGATCAGTCCGCTGTGGGACGCGCACTTGAGCAACAGCAAGCCGCAGACGGTCTGGAAATAGTAGCACTAGGCGGGGCAGGCTTCGACGACGGTGAGGTCGATGATGCACTGGACGCTTCGCGGCCCGCGCATGAAGAGCGGCCAGTAGTACTTGTACGGCTGCAGCTTCTTGAGCGTCTGTTCGCGCGTGTGCACGCGCTGAATGCGGTAGCCGGCGGCCCCGAGCTGCGTTTCACAGTCGGGCATGATGTTGATGAAGTCGGTGCCGTGCAGTTGCGAGATTTTGCGCGCGGCCCTCCAGAACCACGAGTCTTTTGGCTCTTCGCGCATGTAGTCGAAGAAGAGCTGGAAGTCTGCGAAGACTTCGCGCAGCGTCTTGAACATGTTGACTACGGTGTGCGGCGTGAGGTAGTAGGTCACGCCCTCCCAAAGCACGAGCGTCTTGAGCTGCGGGTTGGTGCCGCTGCGCAGCGTGGCGGCGAGGTCGTCTTTCTCAAAGTCGCAGCCCAGGTACGTGATGCGCCGCTTCGCGAGGTTTTCCGGCTCGTGCAACTCGAGCAGCATCAGCTTGAGCTCGCTGAGCAGGAAGTGCTCGCAGCGCTCGCCCTGCACCACGCACTCGATTGCGGCGGCGATGATCTGCTGGAACGCGGCGCGTTTGCGCTCGACGACGTGCGGCAAGTCGACTTCCACGAAGTGCAGTGCCTCGTGCCGGTAGTAGCGGTAAGCTGTCGAGTCCATGCCCGCGCCGAGGATCACGATTTGTTTGTAGCCTCGCGCGATGTGCGCGTCGAGAAAGCGGCGCGACTCGTACGCACGCGCGAAGTACGCTGCGTAGAGCGACCGCTGCGGGACGGGTAGCGCGACGAGCCCGAAGCGGCGGATGCGCCGGATCAGCTTGTGGAAGCGCTTGCAGATTAGCGGCTCGCCGAAAAAGCGTTCGCGAGAGTCGAGCTGGAACGGCGCGGGCGCGTACGTGTACGCTATGCGCAGCCAGAGCATTGTCCCGGCGTTTGTGTCTTCTTTACCGGAGAGCCCGATCAGCTGGCGCAGGGCATGTGGCGCGACGTGGCGGCTTTCGCACTGTATGTACAACCACATGCAAAAGCGCGTAAAGAAGTAGTAGAAGAAATCCCACACGTAAGCGAAGAAGTGCATCGAGGCTAGGCTGCTGTAGACGCCGGCCTGGGTCAGGTCAGCTGCGAATTTGGCGACCCGATTGGGAGGTGTGCGGAAATCCGGTTTTCCGGCGAGGGGCGCCCAAATTTCGCACACTTTTGTAAAGCATGAAAGGACTTAAACTGGCGATTGGACTTTTCCCGTTGCTGCGCGCAGACGTGCTGGTGCACGAGCCGGCGACCATCGACGCAATGGGAAACGTGAAGGAAGCGGTCGCGGCCGGCGCGATCGCTGGCACGCCCGACAGCCCCGGCATCGGCGGCGTCGCCCTGGCGGACACGAAGCAGCCGCAGTCGATCAGCAGCGTGTTCGGCATGGACGGGCCGACGATTGTCGCCTGGAACATCACGACCAGCTTCCCGTACATCAGCTTCGTGCTGCCAGAGGGCAAGTTGACGGACTGCACCGTGACGCTGACGGACAAGGCGCTCGCAGAATACAAGGAAACGGACAAGTTCGTGGAAGAGTCAAACTTTTTGACGACGCGCTTCAGCTTCATGAAGGCGGACAACAGCACCGACGAAGAGCTCGGCCGCACGTTCATCGTTTTCCGCCCGCTTTCCTGTTACACCGTAAACATGAAGAAACCGACGACCGCCTTCGACAAGGTGACACAGACGCTGACTGTGAACTTCAAGGCGCCTGCGGAGACCACGACCACGACCACGACGGCGGCTCCGACGTCGCGCTCTCTGCGCAAGGTCACCCCATAACTGTTTGTTTTCAATAAAGCTCGGCGCGCAAGCGGCCGCGCGCGAATCTGCGCGTCGGCGTCTTTCAGGTGCACGTACAATTGGCGCATGACCAAGAGTAAGTGCGCGCGCAGCGACCGCAGTCATTGTGCTCGGCGACGCGAACGTCGGCAAGACCAGCGCCGTGCGGCTCTACTCGACTAAGCGCACGCCTGGCGCGACGAAAGCTACGATTTGCTTCGAGCTGATCTTCTGCAACATCCCGCTCGCGTCCGGCGGTTTTCTGCGGGCCGAGATTTGGGATACCGCGGGACAAGAGAAGTACCGTTCGGTGGCAGCAAACCACTACCGGCGCGCGGACGGCGTGTTGTTGTTTTTCAGCATTTGCGACCGAGCCTCGTTTGAAAACCTGGGCAGCTGGCTGGAGTTGGTGAAGCTGAACTGCGAGCCGGACGTGCCCATTGTGCTAGTGGGGTCAAAGTGCGACGTGGCCGCGCAAAAGGCAAGCGAGCGCGCCGTTCCGCGCGCGGAGGCGGAGGCGTTCGCGGCGCAGCGCGGCTTGCGCTTCTTCGAGATCAGTGTCGTCACGCAGCAGAACGTCGACGCGGTATTCGAGCACGTCGGCAACGCGGTCTGGACGCGCAAGGCCGCCGCTACACCGCCCAGCTCGAACCTGGTCAGCCTCAACGAAGCGCGGCCTGCCGAGGTTGGCGCACTGGGCTGCTGCTCGCTATTTTAAGCCGAGCCCTTTTAGCCTGTGCATCAGTCCCTTCTTTCTTCTGCGCTCCGTCGGCTTCGCCGGTGAGGCCGAGGCGAGCAGCGCCTTGACGTCGAACGCGGGCGCGACGTCGTTCAGCTGGCGGTCAAACGCGTGCTTGCTTTGCGGCACGCCGTCGAAGCCGCCCACGGGCGGCGCGTCGCTGCTGCCCGCGTTGGCTGCGGGCGCCTGTTTTTTTTCGAGCAGCGACTTGCCGAGCGCTTCGAGTAACTGCGTGTTTTGCGCCTCCAGCGTGGAGGCGTCGTACTTCGCGCCGCCCTGCGCAGCAATGAACGCGGTTAGTGCGCGCGCGTCGCTCTTGAGCAGCCGTAGGTCCGCAGGCGCGAAGCCGCTGCTGCGCAAAAAGTACTCGCGCAGCAGGAAGCGCCAGAGGCACACCAAGTCCAGGATAAAGAAGTCCGAGAGCAGCGCGTGCAGCTTCTTCGGGCAGCTGCGGAACGCCTTTAGTACGGTCCGGTCCAACGAGCGCAAAAACTGCGCGTACGTGAGCCCCTGCGAGATCGTTGGCACGTACAACTCATCGAGCAGAGCGGGCAAAATGAAGCGGAAGCAAACCGAGTGCACCATGCAAACAGCGAGTTCCGACTGCGCAGCCTCTAGCTGTTCGCGCAGCGCGTCTTCCGCGGCGCGCAGCTGCGCTTCGGCGTCTGCTGCGTCGCGGCTCCCCCCCCCGGGCGCCCCGGGGGGAAAAAAAAAAAAAACCGGGGGGGAAGAGAAAAGCCCCCCGGCGCGGTCGAAAGGCGGTTG